CACATTTAAATATCTTACTTATTAAGTTTTCAAGAATTTGTTGATTTCATAGTTTAAATTAATTCATCTTATATTAATTTAAATTCCCAATATTTTGAAAATTCCAGGTGAGAACTTTTAAATCGCCTTTGCTTAAACAGTTAAGTATTCTAGATTTTTTAGAAATTAATTTAGAATATATTTTTAAGCATAGTAAATGCAAAAAAAAAGGTCTCGCGTATTTAGGAAAAGAAACTATTAAAAAGAGATTTATCATTCTTGGTAGCAGAAATGTCAGTTACAAAGATTCTCTTGTTTATTAGAAAATATATCTTGTATTTTCTTACTTTCGAAAAGAAGATTAGAAACTTAGTTATTTTTATTTATAAGATGCAAAACGAAATGTTAGGCGAGAAAAAAAATATTTTACTCCCAATGTCATTTTATTTTATTTATACTACAATAACTGCATTGATTTGCTGTTTCTAACTTTCTATTGATTTAAGTTTTTCAAGAAATGTAAAATCTTCGCCTGTATTTTTAAATCTTTTTTTTATTTAAAAATTTGTCTAGTGATAAATTTGAAATATGTGGGTTTTAGATATTTAACTTTGTATTTCATAAAACATTTAGAAAATTTTTTTTTAAAAAGACAAAATTAGCAAACAAATGTTCAAACACTCTAAAGAATAAGTGATTTATTTAAAACAAATAAAATACATCATTGTTCAAACATAATTTTGCAGTACTATAAAAACCAAAAATTTATTTTCTTTAAAATTTCAAATTACAAACTTTTCAAAAAGCCTATAATAAATTATCAACGATATTTTTTTTAGTGTATTTCAGAGCTTTTTAACCAGATCATATGTATATATAAATTTTTTAAAAGCGTAATAAAATTTTCCATGTTTTAAATATATATTTTTAATTCCATATTTAATCTCTTCTTTAACTATAAATGTATTAATTAAGTATCATTTTAAGTTAACTCATGCGTATACTAACATCAGTTAATATATCATTTTTTCATTTTAATTACATAATTATATTTGAGATATATTCCATTATATAATGTAAATATTGAAGTAGCAATTAAAAACTAATTTTCTTAATCATTCCGTTTTATTTAAATTGTTTTTGTAACAAATTTAAGTGAAATTAGTTTTTATGGCGAGAAATGTATTAATTTAGCATAATTTTGTGTGAATACATGCGTATTGGCATCAATTTTAATTTTACAGAACGTTTTTATCACATTCGATATAAAACTAGATATAAAAGTAGCAGTTACAAACCAATTATTTTCCTAATTATGTCATTTATTTAAACGGTTGATGTCACGAATTTTCAAGCAACGTCAATCAGCTTTTTAGCCAGAAAAGTATCAATTTAGCAGCATTATTTTATGTAAGCGTAAACAGATTGGCACCAAATTTACCAATACATCGTGTTTTTTTCACATTAGGTATAGAACCAAACATAGAAGTTTCAATTAAAATACATTAAAATTTTTAATTATACCTTTTTATTCAAGCTATTGCTGTTGCGAGTTTCGAAGCAACATCAATTTTTTTTTAACAAGTAATGTATCAATTTAGCAGAATTTTATGTAAACGTTTACTGATTGGCATTTTTACCATTATGTAATGTTTTTATCACATTCCATATAAAATTAAATGTAAAAGGGACAGTTAAAGACCATTAATTCTTTTAATTATATCATTTCACTCAAACTGTTGATGTAATGAATTTTCAAGTGACGTCGAGAACGCCCACAACTCATCAGAAAAGATTGAGAGATTTTCGAATGATATACTCATTAGAGTAAGCAGCTCTCATGTGAATTGCGTCTACCCATGCACGGAATCCAACCTCAATCGATCTGATTCTGCAATGGAAAGGCAAGAAAGCTATCGACAAACTTTCTCATTAGACAAACTCACTATTTAAACTCTGAAGTGATTCATTGCCATTATCGAACACACAAATGCTAGGCAGCCACACGTTAAAATTAATTATCTCCGGCGTTTAAAATTATATATTTTCTGCCCATTAAATGGTGAGAATTCCTGGCTGTTGTATTGGTAAGAAATTTATTGCGCCATTAAAAGCCATTTCGAGTAAAGAATGTTTCGATTCTAAGACTTGTCTAAATTTATACTTGAAACAAACATTACTTTCAACGATCAAGAACTGCTAATTCATCAAAGAATATATTCACTGAGGTTTGTATTTAACAATATCAATCATTAATTTTGTATTTCTTATTTAAAAATGAAATAATAAAAGTACACGCGAATGAAGTCGCAAATAATTTTCAAAATCTCTAGTCGCATGTTTTTTTTTCTTCCGAATAATATGCTATTTCTATGACTGATCTGAGTCTGCAACAGTTACTCATTAAATTAGGATGAGTTTAGCCAATCTTTAGCCAACACCCTCAATGTTCCGAAAAAGGTGCAAAACGTCAATATGGAGAGAAAAGCCACAGTTTTGAGAAGATGAAAAATGCGTAAGGTCTAATTTTTTAATGTTTAGACAGACAAACTGTATCTAGTTCAATAGCTTTAAAATATTTTAGTCATTGTCCGTTCTTAAGTACATACACCGCTCTTTTAATGGCTTCTAGAGAACAACCCTCATCCATGGACCCGACAACAACAACAAAGCACAAGCAGTTTAAAATTATAGCTTTGATTTAAATGTAAGATACTTAAACTGTGGTTTCTTATTTTCCTTGGAGAAAGAGATTCGAAAAATCTCATTGATATTTAAACTGAGAAATAAAAACGCAATCGAACTCTAACGAATCTCTCTTTAAGTAGTTGAAATTAATAACTTTAAATCATATTTAATTGCCAGGAAAGGGTGATGGTAGGTAAAAAGACAGCTATTAAAAATGCCTCGAAGTTTCATCTTGCAATCAAATTGGTTTTAAGACACCAATCTTTCCTTCCTCAGTAGTGATTTGTCACATTATCGCAGTGCTTTTGTTTCTTTTCCACTTATGTATTAATTTTTCTACTTCCAATATCAACTTTTTTCGTACAAGAATTTTAACTAATATTCTAAAAGTATGTAAATGAGTTGAAGACGGTAACGGGACATTTTGGTTTATTTTCTGATAAGCAAATTATACTGATGAAAAAAAAAGCTTATTTCAAATTATTCAATAGTTTAAACATGCCTTAGAATAATATAATTTTTTTTCCTCTGAAATCGCATATAATGGCTGCATTTAATCTTTTTAAAAAGTATATGTATACTTCAAAAGTGTCTGTCTGTGTATATATANTAACGTTGCCATTCGGGGAGTTGTAATGAGGCTTTTTTTTGGTGCCGTGTAAGAGAAATATATATATAGATTTTACTTAAACAACAAATCAAGCAATTTTGAATGTTTTGAATTGAGAAAATTTTTCATTAAAACTTTTTTTAAACTATTTTTTATTATTATAATATTATTCATTATTAAATTCAATATTTTATTCAATATTTTATTCATTATCAGATTAAATGCTATTTTATATAATGAAGAAAAATGCGTTGATAATTTTGATAAAAAAGAAACCTTGATAGAACAAAGCGATAAAAAATTTAATACGTTAATACAAAAAACCTAATTTGCTTTAAAACTATGAAGAACATAATTCATTACATTTTTTCTAATTTTGCAGAAATGAAATTTTTAAATCAAAAAGTACTGAAATTATTCGATTGTTTAATCAATTAATGAATGAAATTATATTCAATTTTTTTCATTATTAGATTACTATTTTCAACTCATTATTAGAATACACAAGCATAGTTTCAATACCTAATATGTTTCTTTTTAGAACTAGTTTTTTTTTTTTTTTGAATTTTAATTCAATTTTGAGGATATAGAATTTCGATTCAATATATTGTTTCAGAATTCAATAATATTTCTAACTAAACTAATAAAAAAACTGTTGGTTAAACATTTTCAAAAAATTAGATTACATATTTTAACTAACTGTTTGTAAACAAACTAAAATGAAGTGTTTTCTCATTTGGGAACTTTTAAAATGTATTTCAGATTTTTACTCGGAACTGTGTTGTTTTGCAATTATGTTTACAGTAAAGAAGTTAAGTCAACCTTTGTTTTATCTGAGTTACATTAAATTAAAAGTCTTTCGATAATGCTTTTATTGAACCTTATAAGTAAAACTTGACTTGGATATGATGTTTTAGAATTTATAATAATATATATTTTTTAAGAAAACTCTTCTATGTAATTGATATTTTATTTTAATTCATTGTTACTCTGAATTGAATATTTTGTTATCCATTTCATTATTGAAAAATTAAACACTTTAAAAAAATTAATAAGCCGAAATTACATTTTCAATTATTTAGAGAAAATTAACTTTCCTTTGTGAAGCATTTAATATTTGAAGTATGAATACATAAATGTGAGATTAAAAAAGTGACTTTAAAAGAATACTAATAATTAGTACAATTATCACAATTTTATGATGTTGCTTAAGGGCTAAAATATGACTTATAACAGTGACTCAAAGAAAAACAACATTGACTCATTAGCGCAATAGTTTTCTAAAAGAAAATAACAATTTGTTACATTTATTTCAAATTTCATTATAAAGGAGTTATTTTTATGATTCACTACTTATTTGTTAAAACTATCACACGCTTGTTTCATTAAAAAAATTTCTTCCTAAAGGAATAAATACTAAATTATTCTATTCGAAATTTTATCTATTGAACGTATACTTAAGAACTTTAAATTATATTGCATCTAATTACAAAACACTAATTGTCGCAAAAGTGTTTTAGTAAAATATACTTCCTGTGCAATTAGCTGTTAGTTTTTATATGATATTTTGATATGGCTTTTATACGAAACATTTTTTAAAAGAAACAAAACAGTTCAGTGAATTTTCTATGAACTAAGTCTGAAATAGCATATACCTATAGTATTTTGCCATATTTTAGTATTTTCGTGAGATTAAATAAATGTTAAAAAAGTCACTGAAATATAGTATTTTTTTTTACTTTATTACATAACATTTTAAATAGTCACAATCAAACATTATGTCAAGTCTTAAAAGACACAGTTTCTTACATAAATTCATACAAAAATTTTATTTTTTATATAATCGATACTTACACAAGTTGAGAAGGAAAACTGAAACATTTGAAACTACAAAATTACAAGTTAGAAACACAAATTGAAAACATAGCTGTGCGAAATGATCGTGGCTAGTACATTTTTTTAATTTTGAATATAAATAAAGTTCTAAATTTATATTATTGATATTTCTATACAATAATGTTAAAACAATATGCTTTTAGGTTTGGCCTGTCACTTTACTTTCAATTTTACAAAAAATGATAAAATTAAATTTATGTTGAACATTAAATTATGTTAAATTATTAAATTTTAAAATCATGCTTGTCAAAAAAACCATTATAAAGCAATATTGCATTTATTTACATTCTTGAAACTAATCATATGAAGATTAATAAACATATGATGTAATTAGCTAACTTATAATATTTCGCCTTTAACCTCTGCAAATAGTATTTTTACGCTTTTATTTAAAAGTTTGACTTTACATAATGCAAATTTATCGTTATTTTAATCATATATCTGAATTATTATTCTCAATAAATTACATTTAGAATGTAAAATCTGTCTTATAGAAGAAAATAAAAATAGCTACAACAATTCGAATCTCATGGATATTTTTCATAAAGAAAATAAAAATAGCTATTCGTAATTCATTAATAAATTATCATACTTATGATGAAAAGACAAGCATTATTTGGACGTTACACGAACAAAAATTATTATTGTTCTTAATATGCATAAATTAGAAAAATATTTTTGGTCCTTCAATGTAAAAGTAAAATTTAACAGCATTTTGGCTAAAATTATTTTTTTAAAAAAAGCTTTCTTTTTTAACATGTAATATAAATCTGAGGTCTTAAACAGACATGGTAAGCCATATATTTCAAGTATATCACAGCTAAATATACCACAGACTAGACCACTGAATATCGAATTAACTTGCTTCTCATATTTTAACTTCAATAATTTCAAATAAATTCTATTATTTTCTTTAAACTGTCAAGAATCGTAGTCGGATAAATCTGTACACTAAAAAAACAGCAATTATATTTCATACGTACTACAGGTAAACTAAAAAATAAAAGATAAACAAACTGCTAACGGCAGGAAAAACAATAAATTAGACGTTTTGTACAACAAGTTAAAGTTTTTTGTGATTAGAACTAACTAAAGAACAAGTTGTCAATGATTTTTTTTAAAGAAAAATTATATTTTTGCATTATTTAATGTACGACTTTTATAACAAAGTGCGTAACAGCACTCAATAATGTTATAAGTTAGCATTTTGGTTAGGTACTTAATATAGGTATATTTGTTAATTACTGAACATTTGCATTATATTATGTATCTAAGAACTAAACACTAAGAAAAAACTCGTTAAAAACGCACATATTGTTGCATTGAAAAATAAATTTTAAATACATATCATAAAATGAGCAACAAAATTAACATGTTAATATTATGGCAGAATGGAAAATGTTAACTATGTTTAATGTATTCGAGAATAAGGTAAAACAAACTTGCAATTTTTTTCAAATACATCAAACTAAAAACTTCTAACTTACTCTTATGCTCTATACATTTATTAGGTGCATGCCAAGAGTTGGTAGAATTTAGCCTAACTTCGGCAATGTCTTATAACTGTAATTATGTACTTCTTGCTTAACCAGCTCCAGAAACTTTGAAAAGTTTTTGTCATTTTTACCGCATTTCACTTCATCACAAGTACCCTTTTTAATGGAATGTACCAGGTTTTTAACGCCAAATGTATTAAGAATATCATCGTTTACAATCAAACTGGCTATTTTTGTGGCTCGTTTCAAATATTTTGATCCAGGAACTGCGTTTTCATCATTTTTCACCGCCATATTGCAAATTATTCTCTGGAGACAATCAGGACTATCAACATACCTTGCACTGAAATCCACAAAACTTTCTAAAACGGAACCAAGAATATCAGTGGTGTTTCCCGATATAAATCCCCTTGTCCTTGCTCCATTTGGTGAAGGAATCAAAGCAGGTATGGTGATACCATTCATCATGACATTCATTATTAATGGCAATGAAGCTGCAATTATGAGAGATATTGGAATAAAGGTGGCCATTACTAGAGTAGTAGGATTGTCCAAAATTCTAGTCAGAACTCCTGGCTTAGAACTACCAGAATCCATCTTTTTCATTGCCTGCATCATCATATACATTTTTGTGTAATCAGGGTTATAATTTGATGGAAGTTGATCATAGTCATCTTCTCTCTTCCACACCTTGTCTTCTGGAGTCGATCCACTCTGTATGTAATCGGTCAGAGGTGGTAAGTAGTATGGTGACCAGCTGCTTCTGACAGGTTCCGTGTTTCTAGACTGGGTATTGTCGTCCCCGCTCACAAAATCCATAAAACCTCTTGGAGTTTTAGGTACTGCTATGTCCGATTGCTCGTCAGTTTTGAAATATCCATCTGATTTCTTTAAAGAACGCTGATTAAAATCCTGAAATTTATCTGAGCTCCTTCCTGTACGGTTGCTGTTGAAGCCGACTTCAGCACTTTCATCGCCTACCACACTGTATAGAAACAAGATTATTAATGCTATATCTGCAAGTGTATGCATTATTCTTTCTGTTAGTCCGTACTTCAACTGAATGCTTAAGCTTCAGAAACCGTCATTAAATAGTGAAATAAACATCCGTATGCATACTTGATTACGCAATGAGTACATCCGCGAACATTTCAAATTATTTCACAAACCATAAACAAGAACTTTTATTATTATTTTTCACTTTAAACACTTCAGAGTGCGGAATTTTTATTCTCGCCCATTTGCATTTTGACAAAAGGGGAAAAAATGCCTCGCCTGATTCTAAACGGTAGTGGAAACGGCTCCAAGATTGCGTGACTTAACGTTTGGCGAGAAATCTTTCAAATTTCGCTTTTATGGACATCAATGGCTTTTGTTAAGATTTGGCAGTTTACTGTGGTACACTGAACTAATTCCCGGGTTCTTGTAGTAATTTTCTACTCTACTTAACAACCCAATATTAGTTTAGTTTTAGTTGTTCAAATGCTGGTAAACTTCACTTTTTTACGACATCCCATATTCAAAATTGAAGTAACATAAACTTTAGGTTCAAGGTAAGGTTGGCTGACCTTTTCACAGTCGTATTGATTAAGAAAGGGTCAGGAACTTTTACGGCGATGTCTGGTTTGTGTTCTTTTAGATTTATTAAAGCATGTAAATTTTAACGACTGTCGACACACTGACTCCTATATATGAAAGAAAAGCACAGATAAAACAGAAATCTAAGAATAAAACAGCCTAATTTATTATTTCAGCATAAGCAATAAAATATTTACCATTGTTACTAAAATTCATAAAGTATATCGTAAATAAATTCCTCATTATACAAACAGTTCGTTCGCCTAACCGACGCCGTATAAAAAATAACAATTTTTAGCTAGGGATGTGAAAGATTTTCAAAGAAAAGATTTAATTGGTAGTAATTTACCATCCCATAATTCAAGTAGAAATTACTTTCGCTTTTAGCAAAGTAAAAGTAATAATTTTAAACTGGAGACAGTCGAAAATTATTTCAAAGTTTTCGTGAGGGTGTTTTTAATGCGTCTGGTCGCCATTGTCTGAGTTTAGCAAATTTTATTTACAAGACTGCGGGGTGTAATTTTGTCATTATCTTATGCTGTTATTTCGGAATAATTGCCTTTACTTTCTCACATGGAACTTTTGTAAACATGTAATAAATGCGTTATTTGTAGTATTATTTATTATAGCTAATTTATTTCAGCTTTACAATTTCAATCAGAATTATTCTCTAGTCTCTTCTAGTCTTTTAATGTTTTTTTTTACTTATTTATTTATTTATTTTTTTGGATATCAGAATTTATATTTTAAATACTTTTGAAAAATATTTTTAATAATTTTCCTCTCTTGTCATTATTTTTTATTATTTTCCATTTTTTCTCAATATTTTATCTTGGGGAATGCTTAACTTGAAGCAGAAATAATATCTTGAAGTATAAAATCAATTTAGGGAAACTTAAAAAAGTTAATTATAAAATAAGAATTTCTAAATTTGCGTTGGATTACTTATTGACTTAGTATAAAGTTAAACTTAAATAAGAGACTAAATCAGTTATTATACATCAAATTTTAAAGACATTACAAAGGTATGAAAAAGAAAGCGGAACCTTTAAGTACGTGATTTATAGAAGATGTTTTATAAATTGACCTGATCAGATAGATTTCAATTTTAGAAAATTAGATTTCAATATTTGTGGTTTCTTATAGAGTGTTTTATAGTTTCTACTAAGAGTTAAAAGGAGTGTGTTAGAAAGGGAACAAACTAAAACTAATCATTAAAATCGATGGCTATAAGTCAAACACATTGTGATTGGGAGCTATAATATAACCAATAATATAAATGATATAAATGCAGATGATTTTCGAAGTCTACTTAATGAGTAAAAACTAATTACAATATATGAATTATAATTAACATATGAATCTTTCTATGGCAGACAATTCAAAATTATTTTTATCTGTCCAAAAAAATTTGAACAGATTAACAAATTTTTGAATAACAAGTTTTTGTTCCTTAAAAAGTAAATCATATGAAGCTTGTTTTTTTAATGTTCTTAAAAATAAAATGACTTTTTTTCCTGATTAAATTTTCAGACAACACATTTATTGGATTTTTCTGCTAAGATGAATATATTCAATAACTTTTCAACATATTATTAGAAATTTCCTCAGTAACATACTCATGACAGTAAATTCATTTTATTAAATCAGTTTATTGCTTTCAATTTTAAAATATTTCAATACTTCGTGAATAGGAAATTCAATTATTCCATTGTCGTATCTTCTTAAATCAAATTTAATTTATAATGCAGCAGCTTACAAATGCAGGGGAAAGCTATTTTCATAATCAAATCAAACTAAAATTTAATATATTTTGTGCGATTTGCCTAACATTTTTATTGTCTTTGATATTTTTTGTTTTTGATGGTGTGTTTTTAGAGATGCATACATTTTTAATATATACATCTTTAGTAGAAGCGCTTGCATTTATTAGAATGAAAATATTAAATCTATTAATTTAAATATACTTCACCTTTTCGTACCTTATTTTTCAATAATATTTTTAAGATCAAAATATTTTGCTTTTAATTATATTTCTGCAATCATTTTTGAGGCTATGCAGTTTTTTAGTACTTTTAGTTAAACATAAAAAGGGAAACCTTTTAACGTTCCATATGTTTTAAGAAAAGCGCAAATATCATAAGAACAAAAAATATTTTTGTATTTTTGTATTCCAGTATTAAATAAAGATCTAAAACAGAGAATTTAAAAATGAGATTAAAAAAAATATACCGTACAATAAATTTAAAAGCCATTAAACGCTAATAGTTTACATTAGTTAGAATTATTAATATGATATTTATTGAAATCTACCTAAGAGTTAAGTATGCTTTATTTCTCGAAGTTTATTTCATAATCATATTTTTAAGAATAACATATCATGCTTTATTTAATATTCTAAAAACGTCTTTTAAGATGATCGAATTTTTTAATACCTTTATAACACATGAAAATGAATACTTCTTAAATTTCTAGATATTTTAAGGCAAACATAAAATAACAAACATAGTGATATACACGAAGATCAAAGAGTAAATTTATGCTGCAATATCAAATAAACAAATTATTTAATGACTTTACCTGCAGCCCAAGAGACGCCATTCATTTAAAAACCTCTTAATTTTTTTTTTCTATTTGGTTAGATTTTCGTTTCTTATTTTATATAGTAATGCATTTAATCAAATCTTAGCAACTAATGCATTTTATTTTTATCTTGATTCTCACTTTTTAATTGACCAAATTTTTCAGTTTTGATTTCTTGTTGCAATGCTAATGATGCGATAGTTTTTTCATCATTGATGTCACTTATCAATCTTGTTTATTTTGATATCACATCTCGGTACATAAAATAATGAGTGATAATGAATTTTATAGTATTAGGTAAATTGCATAAAATAGTGTGTGATAGTGAATTTTATAGTATTTGGTAAATTGCCTAAAATAGTGCGTGATAGTGAATTTTATAGTATTTGGTAAATTGCATAAAATAGTATGTGATAGTAAATTTTACAGTTTTTAGTAAATTGCATAAATAGTGCGTGATAGTGAATTTAATAGTATTTGGAGAATTGCATAAAATAGTTTGTGAAAGTGAATTTTAAAGTATTTGGTAAATTCCCTTTTTTAACTACATTATTATGTTCTGATACATTGTTTTACTTTAATTTGAAATAAACACTTTGCTTTTAAAAATTTACCGAAGTAACTAAATTTATAATGACATGTTAATTGTGAAGTAAGAAAATGCAATTTTAATGCTTAAAAATCTAATTTAAAGACATTTAAACCAGTTTAAATAGTTCAGTTAGTTCTCACTTCAATGAAAAAGAAGGAACATATAACACGCCAGAATTCATTGACGTGTAAAATACAAACGGATTGTTGACACAGGTAAAAGTGGATTCAGTGAATATTTTATTTATGCGAAAGTAAATTTTGAATTTCATTGACACCTTTTTTAAGTAATGTTATTCCCAAACGGATCTTAGAATCGAATAAATACACGGGAATCCAAAAATCCAACATCAAACCTCACTCAGTGAACTGATTTTATTGCATACAGCACTTTTACTCGTTTGGATATGTCTTTGCAACTGTGTACATTTGTGGTGTTATTTCTTTCATGCGTTGCTCTTGATGCTTCGAAAAGAAATTCAAGTTTGGATTCTATACAGTTTAAAACTAAATCTGATTATAATAAGCTTAATGAGACTAATAACACAGCAGACAACAGATTGCTTACAGACAGTCAGTCTCCGATGACAGTACCAAGAAGAGGAAAATTTCTGACACCTGGAGAAGAGTTTCTTCTCTCTGTTGTTGACACCCGTTCCCAAGGCAACAGTTCTTTTGGAGGATTGTCTTATCTAACTTCTCTACTGAATAAAAATGGCTTAGTTCAATTTAAAAATGTTGAAAACAGTCCAATAAAAACAGAAGAAAGTGAACCCAGTGTTAAACCATTGAAGTTTATGGATATGGTAAAGATGACAATAGCCATGAAAATAGCCGACAGAATAGACGATTTCAGTATATCTGGAAAAACGACAAAAAGTTTCTTGGCATCATTCGCTTCTGATCCATTGAATTTCATTATTGCAGCAATAATACCTTTTTCCATACTACTAGCTGCGGTCATTCCCTTGCTGACCAATCAGTTGATGACGGGATTATACGTTCCAGCAGTACAATCAGTGGCAACTGGAAGCAGAGGACGACGTTTGAATGATGGGGATACAACTGAATTTTTTGCACCAATTTTAGAAAGCATTACGTCTTTCGGTGCCAAGACTCTTGAAGATCTTGGTGAAATATCTGATGAGACAAAGAAAAAGTTTGTGACAGAGGCGGTAAAACTAGTATCTGCTTTTGCTACTGAAAAATGGTTTAATCTTTTTGGTGGTTTTCCAACAGAAAAGTGCAAAGAAGAACAATGCACCAACCATTCAAGTGAAAAAGTGTAAGTTATAAAAACATTTTTTACAAACCAATTTTAGAAGTCATGCTTATTTTTGTTTCCTTTAAATCTCGAAATCCGAAACATTCAATTGAATTTCCTACTTGTTAGAGATTTTTTTAAAATGTTTCAATCAAGAATGTTTAAAGCTATTTACACATTTGTTATTTATGATTATATTAAAAAATAAATATTTTTTATTGCTAATATATGTGTGTGTAAATCAAGAAATAGTTTTTTTGAAAAGACATAACTTTTCTGGTGACGTTGCGTGAATACCATAGTTTTTCTGGTTTATTTTAATAAATATATTTAACTAAGTAAAAGTTTCTTTTAATTTGCCTATTTCTATTTTTTTCCAATAAAAATAAATTTTAATTTTGGATGGCATTAAAATTTGTAGGTTCTTGAACAGAAAAGTATTTTTCTTCAAAAATTTGCAACATTTGACAAATTATAATTGATAATTGTTAGCGCAATGATTTTTTTAGATTATTATTATGTAAGCATTGAAGTTTTAAAAAATTTATTTTATTATTATCTGAGGAAGAATTATTTTAAAATTATATGCTTAGTTGAATGAGTATTTTAAAAACTGAATTAACTGGAAAAGGTTATAAATTACAAACACAAAAGTTACAACGCACTCAA